CTAGAACACTATTACAAAGCCCCTTTCATATGAAACAAAACCCAGTTTCTATTTCTCTCTCTCTCTCTCTCTCACACACAGCGGAGTGTACTGTGATGGGTATACCGTCTGTCACCACCAATCTCTCTGGGTTCGGCTGTTTCATTGCACAGCACGTCGCCGATCCCGCCACGTACGGCATATACATCGTGGACCGACGGTTCAAGAGCGCAGACGAGTCCATCCAACAGCTGGCAAACGTAAGAGAAATGCTTTGTTTGAGAGAAGGATTGTATAGCTGGATTGTAGATGGTGCATTCAGGGTGCGGTAAAATTGCGCCAATAAGGGGTGTTAACGGTTTTGCATTTTTTGTGGGAACGTAATAGTAAGAGAAGACAAACTAACCATCCCTATTACTTTGACTATAGTTGGAGTATGGAATCCACCCTTACTTGAATGCCCTCAACTATGTTGGATTGTGGATGGGTGTGGTCAAATTCCGCCAATAAGGGTTTTAACGATTTTGCATTTTTCGTGGGCACGTGGGAGTACGAAAAGACAAACCAACCATCCCTATTACTTTGACTATAATTGGAGCATGGAATCCAATTTTTAATTAACCCTTTACGCGTAGCACATTAGGTAATGCATTCTCCCCCTTCCAACCACCTAACCAACTATTATATATATGAAAATGAAATGAAAGACTGCACGGTTTTTCCCCCTTTTTCCCAATCTCCGTTCTCCTGCTCTCTCTCCCTTTCTCCTCCCCTCCTCTCCCTCTCCCTCCCCCCCTCTTTCCAGTATATGTTTGAGTTCTGTAGTCAGACACGACGTCAGAGGATCATTCAGAGGAACAGAACTGAGCGACTCAGCGACCTACTCGACTGGCAAACTCTGGGACAGGTCTGTTTCTCGTCTAACAGAACATGCCAACTGAAGCAAGTCCACCTGCTTGTTTATAATACAAAGCCAGTTACGCTTGTGCTCGCAACCAATAAAATGTGTGCAGTAAAGCAGTAAATGTAGGCTCTGAGATTTAACACTCGAATAGTAACATTTATCGTTTGTTGTTCATTTTCTCTTCTCACCCTCTCCCCCTTCCTTCCTCCCACCCTCTCCCCCTCCCTCCCTCAGTACTATCGTACAGCCAGACGCAGAGCCCTGGAAACCACTCACCCAGAGTACTACAGCAGTAAGAGGCGTGGCTCCGGAAGTGCCACGCCCACTTCTTCCACTCCTGTAAGACTATGATGTAATGGTTTTATAATTGCCTTCAATAGAGCTCCTCTCTAAGGACACTCCTGAAATGAGGACACCTCACCAATCAGGACACATTGTTGATGATGTCATCTTGATTATGTTAACAATGATGTAATGATGACATCATTATTAATTCCCAGGGGTTCCGATATCCTCGCCCCCTGAGTGAGCCTCCGTCACGACCTCCTAGTGAGATTGGAGATGATGAGGATGAAGAGCAGCAGTGACCTCTGGTCATGTGACCATTACATCATGTGACTCTTACTTCCCTGCGCTTTATTATCACATCATGCAGTAAAGAGTTTTAACTGAGTGTGGTATTTTTTGTAAGAATTAATGGAAAGTTGAACAATAATAATAGCACTTTTGCTATTCGCAGTGCACCCATTGATCCATAATTATAAGTCAACCACAATGGTGCTATAATTATAATAAACAATACAGCATAAATGTGCAATTATATAATACATGTATATAGTCATCAATGCAGAGAAAAGCCTAAAAATTAAACAACTCATTGGGTGATTATAACTTTAACAACTCTGACTATGATGATGCCGTCTTTCAAGTATTGGGTTTTCTTTGCAGCATTGTACTCCAGTTTCTTGTGAGCTAGGAACTGATGAAACCCCATCCTTAGCACTCTCCTTGTCAGTCACTCTACCAGCACAGGTATCTGGTGTCTTATCATTGTAGGGATGGTCCTCTCGACGTGGCTGTGGTCTCCAGCCTGGTTGACTATCTGGACCGTTATCTCTCCTCTGAACGGCCATTTCAGGTGGTCGTCGTATGGACCTCGCATTAGCTGTGTGAATAATGATACATGAGTTCCTTTACCAACTCCCGTACCCATTCGGATAAAATAATGCGCATTTGGTAGCCAGATGAGTGGGTGTAAAAGGAAGGTAAATGAATTTTTCCTTGTCTTTGTCATACTTCACGTGGAAATCAATAGGGAATCCTCCCACCATGAGCTTCATTTGGTGTGTTTCTTCTCTGAGAATTTCAACTTCTTTCTCTGTAGCTTTCTGTTTGTCTTTGAGGAACTCATTCTGTTTTCGCAGTTCTGATTCTCTTTCTTGAGGTCCTCAGTAGTCTGACGCAGTTCCTGATTCTCTTTCAGGAGGCTCTGTGTAACGGTAGCCAGCAGTGTCAGATGTGTGACAGTGTCTGTCATGTGCTCAGGAATGTCTTTGCGAGGCAGTCTCACCTCACAACCAGAGTAGTGGAGTGGGCAGTCGATTTCCGTGAGGGGACATTCGTCTTTCACGTGGTTATTCATATTTTGTCTTTCAAAGGTAGTGTCTCGACATTTGTTAGGGCAGGCAACAGGATATTTGACACACTGAGGATAGTGATTTTTTGTAACATCTTCAAAAGTGGATTCACATTCGTTGCAGTGTTCACAGGAGTAAGGTCGCTTGGGGCACGCCCCCTTTTGGTGGGAAGCGATGCGGTGACGCTGGAACCACTCCCCACACCCATGCTCACACTCTACCGCTACAAACTGACACCCAGTCAGCTGGTTATCTTGAGATGGATTGCTATTCAGGTGCTGTTCGTATTCTCCAAGTTTCCCCCTCCATTTACAGCCGTCCTTCTTGTGTGAGCACCACACCTCTTGTGCTTTGAGATATCTTTCTGACCCGTGGTGACGTAAGAACGTAAAATCAGACAGGTTACACCGCGGACACGGCTTGTTGTCTTCCTTCATTCGCTCGATGCATTCGCGGCAAAACTCCTTTCCACAGGGACAACTGATGAGGCACGGCTCCTTCGGGATTTGCAGGCAAATCGGACACTCGATCTGAATCACATCGGGCGGTGGCGTAACGAACTCGCAGTCGTATCCGCCACGGATTCGGCTCTTTACGCGGCTCTAGCGCGAGCTGCCATGAGCCCACAAGGGCCACAGTATTCTATTTAACGCGCACTTTCTCTGGTCACACGTCATCATGACGTAAAAATAGTCTGCGACCAATAACCACGCATGCGCAAGAGCTGCATTACATTATAGCCCAAAATTTATGCAGAAAAGCAGCCCTTGTCTTAGAAGGGGACATACATGTCTTCACTAAAGCCCAGTTTCTCTAGGTTGGGGAGACAGGCAAACTTGATCATGGGTGGAGGTCCACACATGAGGATCTGAGAGGTCGGTCCAGGAGGAGGGAGGTGGGTGGACATCATTTCCCCACTAACAAACCCTGAACTGTACGACCAATCTGAGATAACGGAGATGGTATAAGAAGAAGGAGAGAGGGGAAGAGAGGGAGGGAGGAAACGGTAAAGTGAGGTAATAGATTGAACGTTGGAGCCGAGAGAGAGGTATTTAATGATAAAAACACACATTTTTTGTAATGAAATAAGGACATCCCACTTTCTGGTGTGTGGATTAGAGGGGTTCAATAATTGGCAGTAAAATATAATGTCTAAATTTTAGAAACTGTTGCAATCATGCCCTATCGCTTAGTTCTATCTTTAGTAACATATTTGTATTATAATAGTGAACTTTCTCGTTTTCTTCTCTTCTCCCCCTCCCCCCTCACATCCAGACGCAGAGCCCTCGAGAGTCTAGACTCACCCAGAGTACTACAGTAGTAAGAGGCGTGGCTCCGGAAGTGCCACGCCCACTTCTTCCACTCCTGTAAGACTATGATGTAATGTTTTCATAATTGCCCTGGATAGAGCTCCTCTCTAAGGATCACCAATCAGGACACGTTATTGATGATGTTGTCTTGGTTGTGTTAATGATGATGTAATGATGACATCATTATTGATTCCCAGGGGTTCCGATATCCTCGCCCCCTGAGTGAGCCTCCGTCGCGACCTCCTAGTGAGATTGGAGATGATGAGGATGACGAACAGCAGTGACTCTGGTCATGTGACCATTACATCATGTCATATGACCATCATGTGACTCTTACTTCCCTGTGCTTTATTATCACATCATGCAGTAAAGAGTTTTAACTGAAGTGTGGGTATTTTGTAATGTAATGTTAAAAATAATAGTGCTTTCGCTCTACCTAATGTTCGCAGTACATACACCATATATGGATCCATTTAATGCCGACCAAATTTTGGTGCTAGACATACAGCATAATAGTTATATGTGTAATTTTAGAGTTGTCTGTGCAGAAAAATAAAATATTCCTAGAGTTAGTACCAAAATATATCATTGAGTGATTACAACCTGAACAACCCTAACTATGATGATGCCGTCTTTCAGGTATTGGATGTTTCTTGCAGCATTGTACTCCAGATAAGTGTGAGCTAGGAACTTATTTTTGCCCAGCCCTTAGATTTCCTCTTGTCGATCACTCTACTGGCATAGGTAAATGGTGTCTCATCATTGTAGTGAATGGTTTTTTCGATGTGGCTGTGGTCTCCAGCCTGGTTGACTATCTGGACTGTTATCTCTCCTCTGAACGGCCATTTCAGGTGGTCGTCGTATTCACCTCGCATCAGGTACGTGTAAATTGACACATGAGTTCCCTTTCCAGATGAACACCATTTGTTTCATCACCTCAATTCCCATTTGTATCCATGTGAATGAGTGTTGAAGGAAGGCAAATGTTGTCTTTCTTTTACATAATTCAAAGGGAAATCAATTGGAAATCTCCCAAGGTTAGCTTCATTTTTTTATCAAGAGTTTCAACTTTTCTCTCAGTATTTCCTGCTTGTCTTGGATCAACTTTTGCTGTTCATGGTTCTCCTTCTTGAGATCTTCAAAACTCATTCTTAGTTCCCTATTATCTGTTTTGAGGTCCTCAGTGGTCTGTCGCAGTTCCTGATTCTCTTTCAGGAGGCTCTGTGTAACGGTAGCCAGCAGTGTCAGATGTGTGTGACAGTGTCTGTCATGTGCTCAGGCATGTCTTTGCGAGGAAGTCTCACCTCACAACCGGCGTAGTGGAGTGGGCAGTCGATTTCCGTGAGGGACATTCGTCTTTCACGTGGTTATTCACATTTTTGTCTTCAAAGGAGCGTCTCGACATTTGTTAGGGCAGGCACTGGATAGCTACTGACACACTGGAGTGATAGTGATTTTTGAGTAACATCTTCAAAACTGGATGCATAATATTCGTGGCAGTGTTCACAGGAGTACGGGTCGCTTGGGACAACACCACTCTTTGGTGAAAGTGATGTACGACAGATAGACAGACAGACAGACAGACAGACAGACAGACAGACACACCCAACTACTGTACCCTTGCGCGCATTCTGTTTTCTCTCTTCTCTCTTACAGATATCTTCCATCCAGAGTTTCTCTCGCACAAATCCCCTCTTCAAGATGGGACTACGAAGAATTTGTTCACGGCTGTCATCTGGCGTCTTCCCGTCTTACTATGAACCGTGGGGATACACTCCCGGTACAGTGTGGCTTGCCTCAGTTGGTGGAGCTCTCTCTAGAACACAGAGTGCTCTGCCTTGCTCTGTATGAGTGATTCAGCCCCAGCCAGCTGAGCTGCCTCAGTAGCTCAGCTGGTGGAGCCCTCTCTAGAACACAGAGTGCTCTGCCTTGCTCCTGTATGAGTGATTCAGCCCAGCCAGCTGAGCTGCCTCAGTAGCTCAGTTAGTAGAGCCCTCTCTAGAACACAGAGTGCTCTGCCTGGCTCGTATGAGTGATCAGCCCAGCCAGCGAGCTGCCTCAGTAGCTCAGTTAGTAGAGCCCTCTCTAGAACACTATTACAAAGCCCCTTTCATAATATGAACAACAAACCCAGTTTCTCTTCTCTCTCCTCTCTTCTCTCTCTCACACACACACACAGCGGGAGTGTACTGTGATGGGTATATACGTCTGTCACCACCAACATCTCTGGGTTTGGCTGCTTCATTGCACAGCACGTCGCCGATCCAGCCACATACGGCATATACATCGTGGACCGACGTTTCAAGAGTGCAGACGAGTCCATCCAACAGCTGGCAAACGTAAGAGAAATGCTTCGTTTGAAAGAAGGATTGTAGATGGTGCATTCAGGGTGCGGTAAAATTGCGCCAATAAGGGGTGTTAACGGTTTTGCATTTTTTGTGGGAACGTAATAGTAAGAGAAGACAAATCAACCATCCCTATTACTTTGACTATAGTTGGAGTATGGAATCCACCCTTACTTGAATGCCCTCAACTATGTTGGATTGTGGATGGGTGTGGTCAAATTCCGCCAATAAGGGTTTTAACGATTTTGCATATTTTGTGGGCACGTGGGAGTACAAAAAGACAAACCAACCATCCCTATTACTTTGACTATAGTTGGAGTATGGAATCCAATTTTAATTAACCCTTTACGCGTAGCACATTAGGTAAACATGCATTTCTCCCCCTTCAACCACCTAACCAACTATATATATGAAAATGAAATGCAAAGACTGCACGGTTTTTCCCCCCTTTTCCCAATCGTTCTCCTGCCCTTCTCCTCTCCTCCCTCTCCTCCTCTCTCCCCCCCCATCTCCAGTACATGTTTGAGTTCTGTAGCCAGACACGACGTCAGAGGATCATTCAGAGGAACAGAACTGAGAGACTCAGTGACCTACTCGACTGGCAAACTCTGGGACAGGTCTGTTTCTCGTCTAACAGAACATGTCAACTGAAGCAAGTCCACCTGCTTGTTTATAATACAAAGCCAGTTACGATTGTGCTCACAACCAATAAAATGTGTGCAGTAGGTGTAGGCTCTGAGATTTGACACTCGAATAGTAAAAATTTGTTCATGTCTCTCTTTCTCTCCCCCTCCCCCTTCCTTCACTCCATCCACTCTCCCCCTCCCTTCTCAGTACTATCGCACAGCCAGACGCCGTGCCCTGGAGACCACTCATCCAGAGTACTACAGTAGTAAGAGGCGTGGCTCCGGAAGTGCCACGCCCACCTCTTCCACTCCTGTAAGACTATGATGTAATGGTTTTATAATTGCCTTGGATAGAGCTCTTCTCTAAGGACACCTCCCAATCAGGACACATATAGATGATGTCGTCTTGATTGTGTAATGAGACAATGATGACATCATTTTGATTTCAGGGGTTCCGATATCCTCGTCCCCTGAGTGAGCCTCCGTCGCGACCTCCTAGTGAGATTGGAGATGATGAGGATGAGAAGCAGCAGTGACCTCTGGTCATGTGACCATACATCATGTCATGTGACCATCATGTGACTCTTACTTCCCTGTGCTTTATTATCACATCATGCAGTAAAGAGTTTTAACTGAGTGTGGTATTTTTTGTAAGAAGTTGAACAATTATAATAGCGCTTTTGCTATTCGCAGTGCACCCATTGATCCATAAGCTAATTAACCATTGTGCTATATATAATAATTATACTAAACCATACAGCATAATAGTATGTGTAATTATTATATAGTCATCTATGCAGAGAAAAGCCTAAAGTTTAAACAACTCATTGGGTGATTATAACTTTAACAACTCTGACTGTGATGATGCTCGTATTCAAAGTATTGGGTTTTCTTGCAGCATTGTACTCCAGTTTCTTGTGAGCTAGGAACAGATGAAACCCCTTTCCTTCAGCACTCTCCTTGTCAGTCACTCTACCAGCAGCGGTATCTGGTGTTTCATCGTTGTAGTGGATGGTCCTCTCGACGTGGCTGTGGTCTCCAGCCTGGTCGCTAGTCTGGACCGTTATCGCTCCTCTGAACGGCCATGTTCAGGTGGTGGGCTCGTAGGGGACTAGAATTAGTCTGTGTGACTAATGATACCTAGGAGTTCCTTTACCCTTGTCCATACCCATTCGGATTTAAATAAAATGCGCATGGTAGTGCCGGAGTGGTGGGTGTATTCTTGTAAATAAAAGGACGTAATAAAATTTTTTCCTTGTCTTTGTCATCATTTTCACGTGGAAGAAATCAATAGGGAATACTCCCACCATGAGCTTCATTTGGTGTGTTTCTTCTCTGAGAATTTCAACTTCTCTCTTCTGTTCCTGATTCTCTCTCAGGAGGCTCTGGGTAACGGTAGCCAGCAGTGTCAGATGTGTGACAGTGTCTGCCATGTGCTCAGGCATGTCTTTGCGAGGAAGTCTCACCTCACAACCGGCGTAGTGGAGTGGGCAGTCGACTTCCGTGAGGGGACATTCGTCTTTCACGTGGTTATTCACATTCTGTCTTTCAAAGGGAGCGTCTCGACATTTATTAGGGCAGGTAACTGGATACTTGACACACTGAGGATAGTGATTTTTAGTAACATCTTCAAAAGTGGATTCATAATCGTGGCAGTGTTCACAGGAGTAAGGCCGCTCTGGACACTCCTGGTTCTGGTGGGAAGCGATGTGCTGACGCTGGAACCACTCCCCACATCCATGCTCACACTCTATCTCCACAAACTGACACCCAGCATGCTGCTTCTCTGAAGACGAATCTTCATTCAGGTGCCGTTCGTATTCTCCAAGTTTCCCCCTCCATTTACAGCCGTCCTTCTTGTGTGAGCACCACACCTCTTGTGCTTTGAGATATCTTTCTGACCCGTGGTGACGTAAGAACGTAAAATCAGACAGGTTACACAGCGGACACGGCTTGTCGTCTTCCTTTATTCGCTCGATGCATTCGCGGCAAAACTCCTTTCCGCAGGGACAACTGATGAGGCACGGCTCTTTCGGGATTTGCAGGCAAATCGGACACTCGATCTGAAACACATCCGGCGGTGGCGTAACGAACTCGCAGTCGTATCCGCCACGGCTTCGGCTCTTTACGCGGGCGCGAGCGGGCGCGAGCGGCCATGAGCCCGCCGGGAGGAACACAGAATTCTATTTAACGCGCACTTTCCCTGGTCAACGTCATCATAACGTAAAAAGTCGTCGACCAATAACCACGCATGCGCAAGAGAGCGCTCTGCTGACATTATAACCGTATATAGTCCCAAAATGTAATGCAGAAAACAGCCCTTTGTCTTAGAAGGGGACATACATGTCTTCACTAAAGCCCAGTTTCTCTAGGTTGGGGAGACAGGCAAACTTGATCATGGGTGGAGGTCCACACATGAGGATCTGAGAGGTTGGTCCAGCAGGAGGGAGGTGGTGGATATCATTTCCCCACTAACAAACCCTGAACTGTACGACCAATCTGAGATACGATGGTATTAGGAAGAGGATAGCGTGGAAGATATGGGAGGGAGAAACATTACAGAGTGAGGTACCTGATTGAACATTGGAGCCGAGAGAGAGGTACATACATACGAAAAACCAGATTTTTGAAATAAGGAAATCTCACCACTTTATTGTGCTGTATTAGAGGGTTCTCAATTGTTAAAGGGACTGAGCAGAAATATAAGTCTAAATTTAGAAACGTTTGCAGAGCTTGCACACGAGCCCTACAGCTTTAGTCTATACTTTAGTAACATATCTGAAAATTTAATAGCCACTACGTGATGTCACATTCTCTCCTTTCATATAGTGAACATTTCTCGTTTGCGTCTATCCTCATCTACCCCTCATCCCCTCACAGCCCGACGCAGAAAGCCCGCGAGACTATATACTCATCCATACAGTAGTACTACAGCAGCAAGAGGCGTGCTCCGGGAAGTGCCACGCCCATCTCTCTTCCACTCCTGTAAGACTGTGAAGTAATGGTCTTCATAATGCCCTGGATAGAGAGTCCTCTCTAGGACTGACACTCCTGAAATAAGGACATCTCACCACTCAGGACAGCATTATCTGATGATGTCATACCTGATTGTGTGAATGATGACGTAATGATGAACACAATCGTTATTGAATTCCCAGGTTCGCGCTATCCTCGTCCACCCTGAGTGAGCCTCCGTCGCGACCTCTAGTGAGATTTGGAGATGATGAGGATGACGACAGCAGTGGACCTCTGGTGCATGTGACTCATTACCATCATGTC